TGTGTGTCTGCCTGCCTGCCTGCCTGCCTGTCTGTCTGTCTGTCTGTCTGTCTTTTTGTTGGCTTGATTGTGTGTTTATTTGCATACACACAGAGATATCCGATGATGCTTCATTGCGCAGTCGTCGAACAGGTTAAGGAATGCGCTTTCGATAGGTGTCTTGGAGATTGCGAAGCCAGCCAAGGAGCGTGCATCAAATTGCCGCCACCGAACGAGCATTTGCTGCCATACTGAGGGACGGCTCCGTCGTGACATGGGGAGATGCTGATTCAGGCGGTGACAGCAGTGCTGTTCAAGATCAGTTGAAAGATGTTCAGAAGATCAAGTCAAGCCTCAATGCCTTTGCTGCGATCTTGGGCGACGGGTCTGTGATTTCCTGGGGCTGTGACGATGAAGGTGGCGACTGCAGCGCCTTTGCAGTATTGTACGCATCAGCTTGGTTTCGGGAGATTCTGTGCTGAACGGTTTAGGGTTTAGGGTTTAGGGTTCAGGGTTTAGGGTTTAGGGTTCAGGGTTTTGGGTTTAGGGGTGTAGGGTTTAGGGTTCAGGGTTTAGGGGATTCAGGGTAGCCTGAATACAGAGAGCTCCGGCAGACGCTCATGCAGGAACCTGATTAAGAAAGCCTGGTTCCTGTAAGTATGGAATCCTTAAGGGAGGGGCTTCTAGGGGGTTTAGGGTTCGGGTTCAGGGTTTAGGGTTTAGAGTTTTAGGGTTTAGGGTTCTAAGGGGGGGTATATAACCCAGTAATCCCCAATTCTCCCTAGTACTCCCTTAGGTTCCCTAAAGCTCCCTAAGGATCCCTAGGACCCTCCCCCCCTGAGCCACCCTCCCTTAAGGATCCTATAATGTAACACCCAAACTTAGGGGACGAGTAGGTAACCGTTAAGCCCTTCAGCTCCTTATCGGCCTGTGGGCGCCCGCTGTAAGGTCGAGCTGTCGGGGTAATGTAGGGGCCTTAATAATTAGAATAAAGTTTTGGGGGTTCCTTAGCCTTTTGGGGCTCATATAATCCTACTATAATTCAGAAGGTTAACCTTTTTTTGGGCTAGGGTACTCAGCCCCTAAGAAAATATGTGGATGCATAGAAGGAGCCCTAATAAAGACCCGAGGTTGCTCGGTCAGGGTTCTGCTGCTTCAGGCCAGGCAGCTGTTTCCTGCCATGTAGTACAAGGGGGCTAAATAAGAACCTTTACTATTTCGGCCTAAATAAGTACTTTTACTATTTTGGGCCGAAAAAAGTACCTTTACTATGTTTTTTTTTTGAGGCGGGGGCTCCTTACTGTAAGTATAGTTTCATGGGCCCCACAGCCCTATTCTAATTATCAAGGCCCCTACATTAGCCAGACAAGGAGGGTCTATCTACAGTATATGCTTCGGCCTTGGGTTTAGGTTTTTGGTTTAGGGGGTTTAGGGTTTAGGGTTTGGTGGTTTAGGATTTAGGGTTTAGGGGGCTTTCCGATCTAATCAGGTACCTTACAGCCAAAGATGCCCGAAACGCTGAACCCTAAGCACAGCATCTTCTATATAGGTACATGGACCCTTCCTTGGAGGGTCGGGGATTTTGAGTACCATAACCCCAGATAAGGTACCTGTACACCTACTTCTTACCTACTTCGAAAGTCCCCCGACCCTCCAGAGTGGGGCCAGCGAAACTTGTGTCTGGCAAGACCGAACCCCCATCGCCGGAAGTCTTGGATGTTCTATGATCTGTGGTTAAGGTACGCTCCACAATCCTTCAGGTAAGGAACATGCGCTGAATCATATTCGAGAACCTACACTGGAAGGTCTGGGTACGTTGGATTTGGGGGCTTGGGGATTGGCTCTCACATGCATTTAAGTTAAGCGGCTCTAGTGCGAATCGGAACGGAACAACAGCATTGCACCATCACAGAAGTTCTCGAAGTGTTTCATCATATGTGTTCGTTATTTTACTACTTGACTAGGCCCTTTCTTGCGATATGTGGGTGTTGCATCATCATAAATTCCTAAGTAAGAACCGAGATTGGAATCGTCAACGGTGGCCAAGAAGCCAAACTCAAAGCCCCTGGTTGTGTAAACCATGATAAACGCCCCGAGCGGGCTCTTATGAACACATTGGAAGGTACATATAAGTCTACTGTACTACCTACTTACTAAGCGTGCCGACCCTCCAAGTTGGGTGAGATCTTGGCAAAGCCTTAACAGCATAGGTGCCGTAGAAGGGCAGCTGAAGCATGTCCGGCAGCTTCAGTCCTCTGCCGCTTGGGCTTTTGAAAAACCTTAAACCCTAAACCCGAAGGCTCTGCTACAAAGGGTTTCATTAGGCAAGGGGGTTTTCGTCGCAGGGCTTGGGAAATTTGGGGGTTTGAGGACCCTAAACCCTAAACCCTAAACCCTAAACCCTTCGGATTTCCAGGATGCGGTTTCGCAGGTTGGGCTTTTGAGACGTGGGACTCAAGGGTTCCAAAGGGTTTAGGGTTTAGGGTTTAGGGTTTAGGGTTTAGGGTTTAGGGCCAACCTTCCTCCGGGTGGCCTGAGCGTCAAACAAAAAATCGAGACACCAAAGTGCTGTGGATCCATGTGCCTCTACTCTTGTCTCGCTGTTTACATATTACAACACATGTATACGTATGTATATAAACACGCGTACATACAGCTAGCTAGTGTTTAGTATATACCGAAGCATTAGAGTGCCTAGCAATCAGAAGACAAGCAGAAAAGTCCTCGACGTATTAGCCTACAACACCACTACCCTTAACCCAGGTACCCAATTAACCCGATTATGCCCTAAACCCTAAACCCTAAACCGTGGTTTGTGAACCCTTTGGAATAGTCGGGCTTGTCGGGGATTCTGACATACGCATACAGGACGGCCAAAGCAAGGGCAAAGCCAGGTGGAACCTGGCGGAAATGCAGTAGGCCCCGGTTTAGGGTTTAGGGTTTAGGGTTTAGGGTTTAGGGGTTTAGGGTTTAGGGTTTAGGGTTTAGGGTTTAGGGTTTAGGGTTAAGGCCCCACAAAGGTAGGATCCCGGCAAGCCCCAAGGTCTGCCTCCTTTAGAAAGAATGTATACGGGTAGTTCTCTAAATTAGGGTCCCTTTTGGGGGTCCCTTTTATAAGGGTGCCGTACTATATTGGGGACCCAAAAAGGGAACCTAGTTTAGAGAACTACCCATACACACACACACATGTAGGTTTGCTTGGGGTGTTTATGCGTCTTCACAGGATTTTACAGCACCGAAACCGGCAAATTGCAGAAAACCTCACAGACTGACCCGAGGCTACGGCATTTGCAGCTATTCGTGCTGATGGTTCTGTGGTGACATGGGGAGACCCCGGCAGTGGCGGCTACAGTGCCTCGACCTTGAATTGAGGGTTTAGGGCTTTAGGGTTTAGGGTTTTAGGGTTTAGAGTTTTTGGTTTAGGGATTTAGGATTTAGGGTTTAGGGTTTAGGGTTTAAGGATTAGGGCATCGTAGTCGAGAAGGTAAGCTCCAAAGCTTCGTGGTATCCGAAACCTTCCCTAACCCACCAGGTACCTACTATATGGGGTACTAGAGCCCCTGTGGCCCGATATAGTAGGCACCTGGGGGGTTAGGGCTTGCACAGCACCAAGTGGTAACCGGCACTTCCCTCCCAGCGACCGAGCTGGTAGAATGAAGTAATGTAGAGGGTTCCTTTAAAGGGATCTATAACGGTGCTATAAGGGGCTCCTTTAAGGGTTCTATAGGGGTACTAAAAGAGTTTTTGGGCTTGTAGGGTTTAGACGCTAGGCTTTATACTGCAAAGCTCTCAAGTAGGGTCCTTGTCCGGGATCCACCAGCAGATCACGTCATTCTTATGAAAGGGCAGTCGGTGACACTGGTTTCGAAATCCCCTCCAAATCCATCATGGGAGCACTAAGCCCTAAACCCTACTCCCTAAAGGCTAAACCCCTAAACCCCTAAACCCTAAACCCTAAACCCTAAACCCTAAACCCTAAACCCTAAACCCTAAACCCCAAAGCTAAATTCCCAGCGGGAAGGCCGGAGCCCACATCAGGTCTGGGTGAGGCTTGTCCATGGAAACCTGCCCCAAAAGGGTTTAGGGTTTAGGGTTTAGGGTTTAGGGTTTAGGGTTTAGGGCTCCTATCCCACCAAAACCCTAGAGCCTTTCCTTTGCGATTCTTTTTGGGGTTTAGGGTCCAGGGTTAGCTTTGGGCTTTAGGATTTGGGTTCATTTTGGAGGCCTCACTCCCATGATCGCAAACATGGTAGCTTGAGAAAGCAACAGTCAACCCCCTAAACCCTAAACCCAAAACCCTAACCCCTAAACCCTAAACAGAGGGATTTGCTTGAGGCGGGTCCGTGGATCATCTACTCGTGGGTGTGAAGGCGATCAAATCCTCGCGGGAGGCGTTCGCTGCCGTCTTAGGCCGGCGTGCGAAAGGGAACTTTCAGACAATGGTTTGGAGCTTATAGGGTTTAGGGGCTCGGACCCGGGTATTTGACACAGTGTTTGAAGGATTTCTATATGAAGTAGAGCTTAGTTATGAAGGTTTAAACATCGGGACTGAAAGGGACTAACCATACGAAGGCTGTGTCGCTTGTATATGGTGCCTTGGTCCATTCCTCCTGAATTCAACCCCAAACCCTAAACCCTAAACCCTAAGCCCTAAACCGTGGCTGCTTTCATGTCTCTCCTGCACCGAACCTTGTTTCCCCGACAGGGATAATCCCAAGGATAGGATTTTAGCTTGTTTCTGAAAGCCATCTCCAAGCAACTGGCCCCTTCTCGCTGTCTAGGGGTAGTTATCCTAAATCCTAAACCCGAAACCCTAAATCCTAAACCCTAAACCCTTCATAGAGACACGGCTACGGCCTTCGAAAAGCAGATAAGCTTGGCTGAGCCAAACTCCTGCCGTCTCTTGACTTTGAGGTGGCCTGCTAAGCCAGACATGTCTGGACCTTGGTTTAGGGTTTAGGGTTTCGGGTTCAGGATTTAGGGTTTAGGGTTTAGGGTTCGGGGTTTAGGTTCAGGGCTCAGGATTTAGGGTTTAGGGTTTAGGGTTGAGGATTTCGGGTTTAGGGTTTAGGGTTCAGGATTTAGGGTTTAGGGTTTAGGGTTGAAGATTTAGGGTTTAGGGTTTGGCGTTTAGGGTTTAGGGTTGAGGGGGGGATCTGGAGAGAAGGGTTCTGCTATGTGTGTTCAGGACGTCAGGCTGCTTCGATTCTTGGGTTGCTTCGGGTTTAGGGTTTAGGGTTTAGGGGTTTAGGGGTTTGGGGTTAGGGTTTAGGGGTTTAGGGTTTATGGTTTTTTGCTGCTGGATTTGTCCTTGATGTTGCTGCTGCTGTCTCTGTTGCTGCTGATGTTGCGGCCGGTCCTACCAATATGTGTACTGGTATTGAACACAACCATGTCGCAGGTTGGTTACTTGGAGGGCCCGGGCACTTAGTAAGTAGGTATTTTTATAGGCTTATATGTATCATAACCCCAATTAGAGTGCCTTTTAGGTTACTTATACGTCTGCTTATTACCTACTTACTAAGTTCCCCCGCCCTCCAAGTAAGGCCGTCCACACAACAATAAACCCTAAACCCTCAACCCGAAACCCTAAACCCTAAGCCCTAAAAGCCCTAAAAGCCCTAAAAACCCTAAACCCTAAACCGTCAAAGTATACCCCTAACCCCTAAACCCTAAACCCTAAACTGACAGGCGATGGATCGGTGGTGACGTGGGGCAATCCCGGATCAGGGGCTGACAGCGACTCTGACGGAAATTCTGGGGCTCGCCTGGCTTTTAGGGTTTAGGGTTTAGGGTTTAGGGTTTAGGGTTTAGGGTTCAGGGTTTAGGGTTTAGGGTTTAGGGTTTAGGGTTTAGGGTTACAGTAAAGGCGTACAGCAGCTATAGCGTCTATGTTTAGGGTTTAGGGTCTACTTGGAGGGTCGGGGGACTTAGTAAGTAGGTAGTAAGTAGACTTAGAAGTACCCTAAAAGGGACTCTAATTGGGTTTATGATCCTTGTCTATAAAATAGCTACTTACTAAGTCCCCCGACCCTCCAAGTAGCAGCTATAGCGTCTAAGGCACTGCTTGGCCACCCAAAAGAACACAGATGAATGTTCGTATAAATGACGTATACTGTGTACATATGTGTTTCTAACATTGGAACGATGTAGGAATATATCAAACTTGCCGGGCCTTTCCCAGACGGGTGCCAAGTGTGATCCCTTGCTTGTTAAGTACACGTCGTGCCCTTAACCCTAAACTCCCTAAACCGTGTCGTGTCCTTCGGGCGTCAGTGGCCAAGCTGGTAGGAAGCTGAGTTTCCTTGGCTCCTGCGCAAGAGGTATCAGAAGGTCCCCACATTTTTCTAGTCAGGAATGGCACGCTTCAAATGAAGATCTCAAGAAGGTAACCCTTAAGGGCCATAAACTAGGTATGAGGTGTGAAGACTTACTGGGTTCAATATCGGTTCAGGGCTTATAGGGTTTAGGTGCAGGGTTTAGGGTCATCGTTCTGAAATTGTGGCAGCTTTGGTGGTCAAAGTATGGTAGTAGTGTCGGGTCGACCGGCTGTTGGGTATGACTCAAAAGACAGACCCCAAAGAACGATTCAAAAAACACACACATAAAAACCCCAAAGAACAGCTCCAAAACGAAACTAGCTCTTAAGAGCACAAGCACTCAACCCAAGAGGCCGAAACTCCTAATCCGCATAAAGCCTTCCATAGGGACCCTTGGGGGGGGTAGGGGACTATACCGCCTGGAAAAGGCCTTAGTAGGTCCTTATTACTGGTATTACTTGCAGGGTCGGAGACTTATAAGTATCATAACCCCAATTAGGGTCTCTTTTATGCTCTCTTTTATGCTACTTATAAGTCTACTTATTACCTATTTACTAAGTCGCCCGACCCTCCAAGTAAGGGTCCCTGTCAACCTTTGGAACCTTCCATAAAACACGTGTATTCTCTGCAATCAGTTCGACAAGCCTGCAACACCCTTAGTGAGATTCGTAAGAGCTGACAAGAATCCCATAAAACAAAGCCTAAACCCTTGACCCGAAACCCTAAGCCCTAATAACATCGAGCCACGGTTTAGGGTTTAGGGTTTAGGGCTAGGGTTTAGGGTTTAGGGTAACATCACCTCCGAAACCCTCGAAACCCCAAACCCCGGCTCCCTATATCCCAAACCCTGCCTGAACCAAACCTTACTTGGAGGGTCGGGGGACTTAGTAAGTAGTTATTTTATAGACTTATAAGGATCATAACCCCAATTAGAGTCCCTTTTATTTCTGGGTACGACTTATAAGTCTACTTATTACCTACTTACTAAGTCGCCCGACCCTCCAAGTAGACCCTAACCACCCGGTGTCTCTTGAGGCAGCTCTGCGCAACAGCAACTGAAGTCTGTGAGGGAGATCCAAAGCTCCCAACATGCGGCTTGCTTCAGCGCCTGACATGTAGGGTTAAAGGGGTTAAAGGGGTTTAGGGTTTAGGGGTTTAGGGGTTTAGTTAAAGTCTACTGTAGAAGCCTAGATAGGTACCAACATTATTCCGTAGGGTTCCTTATTGCAGTTGTCTGACAACGGAGCCCCAAACCCTATTCTAATTCTCAAGGCCCTGATTTCAGGGGTTAAGTGTAGGGCCTTTTGGGTTTAGGCTTTGGGATTATGATACTCATAAGTCTATACAACAACTACTTACTAAGTTGCCCGACCCCCTCCCAAGTAGGGTTAAAGTTCAAGGTATGTATATTATGTCCGTTTTTTTTAATATATGTATGTAAGTAATTAGGCAAGTAAGTAAGCAAGTATGCAAGTATGCAAGTATGCATGTATGCATGTATGCATGTATGTAGGTAGGTATGTAGGTATGTAGGCATGTAGGTATGTATGCATGTATGTAAGTGCGTATGTATACAACGGTGTATGTTGCTATATATTTTTGGTGTTGATAATTCAACCGTGCGCTTGATGTGTTCTTGTCCGTCTTTGATGTTCATGCGGATTCTTGAAGCTTTTCAACAACCCTAAACCCTAAACCCTAAACCCTAAACCCTAAACCCTAACCCCTAACCCCTAAACCCTAAACCCTAAACCCTAGGGTCCTAGAGAGCCGGTGTATCTCAGTTTTCGGTCTGGGGGTGTGGGCTTTCAGGGTCTATGGTTTTGGTTTTAGGGTTTAGGGTTTGTCTTTGGGGTTGAGATCTCTACCGTAAGGGTCCAAGTATATACGTCTTCCACAAGCCTTCCAGTTGCTTCGTTTGGTGTCAAGTAGGACTCAATGCAGCCGGAACTTCGGCAGCAAGGATGCACACACCCGAGCCAATTATCATGATTTGTGTATTGCAACGGCTTATATCTAGCTATTCAGAACCCTAGTTACTAAGTTCAACCCCTGAAGGTCCATGTACTCCGAAAAGCGCATACTTTGGTCTTGGAGTAGTCCCTATATAAGTACTTTGGGGCCAATGTATATAGATTTTGAGGAACATGACATGGACCCTTGAGAATAAACCTTTCGGTAAGCTCATGCTACTATTGATGCTACAAATCCTGCATTACCTTGCGGACCCTAAACTATGGGAAGTATGGTTTCTTCCAGATTACCAAGAAGGCCCTTATACGCTACCATTATGGAATTAGGCCCCAAAAGACCATCCCTATGAACCTAATTCCATAATAGTAGTATATGTGGACCCTACTGGTTTTGGGTAACGCAGGACTTCTGTCATCAGCCGTTAAACCCTAAACCCTAAACCTTGAATTGTCAGGATTCTAAGGTAGAACCCATGGGCCCCTAGTATGGGCCATTAACCCTGGGACCCTAATATACATACTATATACCCTATATATACCCTTAAGGAACCCTAGAATCCCCTAAGGGCCCATGTTAGGGGCCCATGGGTTCAACCTTAGAAGGATCAGGGTTCTGCTTTCCTTGCAGTTTCCTCAGTAGCGTCCGCGACATTTTTCTGATGAGTTTTTTGGTTTTCGGGCCCTGGGGTGTTTAGGGTTTAGGAGGGTTGAGGGTTTAGGATTTGGAGTTTGGGGTTTGGGGTTTAGGGTTCATGGTTTAGGATTTGGGGTTTAGGGTTAGGCCAGGGTTTCGCATAAGACTTGTGAGCATAGCTCTACAAAACCCTGGGCCCGGATCCCTGGGTCACAAATGAGGCTTACGCAGCGCTTCTGTCGGATGGCTCTGTCTCCAGCTGGGGCTCTTCCAGCTGCCTGTGCCGAACGTGTTGTAGCATTTTTGATTTGAATGCTTTGAGTGGTAAACCTCGGAATCCTTGACCTGGTGCCAGAACAGGAGGAAGTAAGGTTATGGTGGTGACTGCAGTCATGTGCAAGAGCAGCTGCAGAACGTCGTGCAGATTCAAGCCTCGCAAAGTGCCTTTGCCGCACTGTTGGCCGATGGTTCTGTGGTGAGCTGGGGCGCTGCGGACTCTGGCGGTGACTGTCGTGCAGTCCAACACCAGCTGAAGGACGTGCAGCAGATCCAAGCGTCTGATCAGGCATTTGCTGCTGTCCTTGCTGACGGATCCGTCGTTGTTTGGGGCGACGCTTGGTTCTGAAGTGATGTGTCCTTCGTTGCTTTCTTTCAGTTTCTGGCAGTGGCAAGTAACAACCTCCGACCCAGGACGACGGCCTTTGCTACGACTATCGAGATGTCTGCCATCAGCTACAGAATGTCGTAAGCATTCAGGCGTCGCAGGCCCGGAGTGCAGGAGGTGTAGGGTTCAGGGAGATTTCGATTCCTAGAACGGGGTTGCAAACATTCGTACTAGTATTCTTTTGCAGCCCCTGTATCATTTGCAGTATACTGAACAAAGAGACCCTGTGACATTGAATAACGATACTGTTCGTTGGTAGCCCCGCTATCATTGCAGTTGAATATTTCAAGAAAGGCCTGTTCTAGTTAACTACTACGGCCTCGATAAGTTACGAAACTATCCCTAACGGGCTAAACCCTAAACCCTAAACCCCTAAACCCCTAAACCCCTAAACCCTAAACCCTAAACCTTAAACCCTAAACCCTAAACCTAAGGATTGGGAGTTTTGAGCTTGAGGTTCTAATATTTAGTAACCCAGAAAGGACGTAAGCATAAGCATTTTATAGAGATATCCCTGCCTTATTGGGCTTCATTCTAAGGGCGTTTATATGGGATGTCCCTATCCTATTTTTTGCTTATGTGCTTTTCTGGGGCCCTAAATATACTTGGAGGGTCGGGGGGGACGTAGTAAGTCGGTAATAAGTAGACTTATAAGTAGCCGAACAGGGACTCTAATTGGGGTTATGATACTTATAAGTCTATTTTAGGTTCTCGTATAGGGGCCTTGAAATTGGGGCTCCTTTTAGGAGGTTCCTGTAAGGACTACATTAAGCATAGGGTTTAGGGCTTTAGGGTTCCAGCGTTTAGGATTTATATAGTATAGGGGCCTTCATAATTAGCATAGGGTTTTGGGGCCCAGTATGCTGTATTTATAATTAGGAGCCCTCAAAAGAGTATAGGTAATTGTAGAGGCCGCTACATTAGCCCTAAGGGTCCATGTATCCGTGTGAGCATACTTTGACCCTGAAGTACCTACATAGGGACTACCTTAAGGCCAAAGTCGGGTTTAAGTATATACTGTATGAGTGTATGAGTACATGGACACTTAGGGTAGGGTCGTATGTCTCGCGTCGTTTCAAACGCGGTTCGAGTGCTGGCTAAGGTTTCGGGTTCGGGAAGTTTTTGGTCTAAGAATGTTCAGGCTTTAGGGTCTCGGAATATTTAAGGTTTGGGGGTTACCCTAAGACTGTGGTGGAGCTTTGTCTTGAATATTATGGGGTTGGATTGACCTGGACCCCAAGCCCCCTAAACCCTAAACCCTAAACCCTCAACCCTAAACCCTAAACCCCAACGCTCAAGATCCGTTTAAGGGGTCCACAAGCCGGCTCTCCGGGAAGGACGCTTTTGCAGCCATCCGGGCTGATGGCTCTGTGGTAACCTGGGGTGATTATCGCGCTGGCGGCGGCTTCGGCGGTTAAGGGTTTAGGGTTTAGGGTTTAGGGTTTAGGGTTTAGGGTTGGTTTTGGTGGCCTAAGCAATTACCTATACTGTTTTTT